GGGGCGGGACCGAGACTCGCGCCGCTCGCGGGACGCCATTTGTCTCGCAGGAGCCCCGCCGCTTGCCTCGAACTTCCCCCCGCAGCCGGGCTTTTCCCACCGCTTCCGCCGCGCGCTCCTCCGAGGTGCCCGCGTGGCGACGCCCAGGGCGGCGAGAGAGCCGCGGCGGCCGCGAAAATCTGTACACACCGCAGCGAAGGCCTGGTAGCTGGGTCTCTGTGGCGCAATCGGTTAGCGCGTTCGGCTGTTAACCGAAAGGTTGGTGGTTCGAGCCCACCCAGGGACGACAGCTCCTGTTTTTCCTTTCCGGGAGTTCGTTTTAAAACCGCAACCGAGAGATTTTTAACCGAGTGGAAGTACGGCACTACCCTGCTTCCAGGACAGAGGAAGGCAACGTCCTCTTAATACTATTTGGCGCCAAACGCGGTGGCTCGAAGAGCGACACAGCTTCTGGACTGGCAGCCCGTAGCTTGTTAATTCTAGTCCTGCCAAATATTCAGGCGAATTGCGCACATAGGCTTCAGGAGAACTACACAACGTTATTCAGCAACAGCATTGGAATGGCAAAAACAAAAAGGAAAAAAACAAAACCAAAAAGTACTCAGTTGCGCATTGGCAGGTGAATGAATAAATACCATTCGTTTCTCAGAAAAATCTCAGAAAATACCACCAAAAAGCAAATGTGGTTATTCAATATTGCCTTATGTACGAAAGGATTTGAGGGGCCGTGCAAATGCAGACAACGCAAGAAGAGTCATCTAAAAGTATGTGGAGGCACAACCATCCTAGGAAACTATTTGCTGAATTAAGCTGGGTTACAGCTTGTGGACAATGGACTTGAATCTAGGCAAAGGCGTTAACGTTTATTTTAGATTGCTGGCTGAATTCTTCCGAAAGTTAAACTCAAGCAGAAATTGTATGGGTTCCTGTTACAAGGTCTTGAATGACATGTTTTCAACCCTGGTCTCACAGAAGACATGAATATTTTTCCAGCAGATGATTCACGTCCGAATTTTTATAAAGAGAGAGAACCACATGATAATAGGATAACAAGATACTCATTTCTGCCAAGATGGAGGTCATGTTATGGTTGCTTTGTCTCTAGGATGTACTTATCCTGGACAGAATTTAGAGACCTAGAAGAAGGAATAGTTAACTGTCTCACTAGGCTGTCTCTTAGGGAATACCTTGGCAGACGTTGCTGGCTGACAGTTGTTTATGAAATAATTGTTGATAGTAAAATGTCCTCCACTCAGAGGGATGGTATAGCTCAAGTGGTAGAGCACGTGCTTAGCATGCATGAGGTCCTGGGTTCAATTCCCCAGTACCTCCTTCAAGAATAGATAGACCTAATTACCTCTCTGCACCAAAAAATTATAAGAAAATATATATCCTCCACTGTCTAGTAAGGAGATACAGTGTTGTACTTATGGCAGAATAACAGAGAGCCCCCTGTTTTTAGTTGGAGGCCTTTCTCATGCTCTTCAAAATTCCAAACTTTCCACCTACACTTATGGATAGCTTACAGTGGAAACAAGGCGGGGGTGGGGGAGATGGAGATTAGGGCATAAGATCATTCTACACTGTTCGAATTTAGTCTAACATTTCAAGATGAAAAAGGTGCAATATTTGCTATTACTGAAGTGATGGGAACTTAGATAGCGTGTCCTTCCACTTTGAAGCTGAGTATAATGTACACTAGGTTATAAGCTCCTTGAAGGAAGAGACTATTTTATGTTATTAATGATGATTTTAGATTATAAAAAATTTCGTTCAGGATACAATTCAAATTCTCGAGCTCAAAACACAACGGCTTTCATGAGCCGCAGCCATGTCGCCCACCCTGTTTCTGCAGGAAATCTTGTAGAGGTTATAAGCACTTCGCAGGAGTTCCTTGAATGGCCCATGGTGCCTTACACCCCCTTCTCAGCCAGGCACCTTTCCCTCGACTCCGATGTGCCCTCCCCCACCTCCACTCTGCTTACCTGGATAACATCTGCTTAGGAGCTGACCTCCTCAGGGAGGCCTCCCCTGACGCTGCCTCCCTCTGTTTGACTTAGAGGCCCCTCCTCTATGCATTCATCACAGCACCCTGAACCCAGGGAGTTACATGTTCCCTGCACTGCAGCAGGGACCATGTCTTCATTCCCACCGCTTGCTCCTCTAGGACAAGCCTGTCACATGGCACATGCTGAGGACGGAAGCAACCCCTGCCTTGTTGGGGCATGTGGTTAACAGAGACAGATAAAAATGCATACGATGAAGCATGAGGAGTACAGAAAAATATTCCCAGGCCCTGCAGAAGGAAGTCAGCATAAATGGGCTGGACTGTGTCTTCATGGAGGATTTGAAGCAAACCTGAAAGATCCAAACAGGTCAGAAGGCAGGGGAGGAGCATTGAAGGCTGGGGAAACTTCAGGACAGGATGAGAGGGTGGTGGCCGTGGCAGGAGGTGAGCACAGCCAGTATATGGGCCAAGTGTACTTAAATAGGGTGCAGGGAAAATGTTCTTAGCTTGTGGAAGGGCGCTAAAGACCAAGAGAAGAGGCTGGACCTTGCCCTGTAAAATAAGGGAGCCACTATTAAAGGTTTCTGTTTCAGGACAGAATGAAATCTATTTTAGATGGTTGGTCTGGCAACTGTCAGGGAAATAAGAGATCTGAGGACAGTTAAGTTGCAATTATATTTCAGAGGAGAGGTGATGAGGCTCCCGGCTAAGGTGAATCTTTATCCACCTTTGAAAGATGTAGATTAATTCAAGGGAAGCCTGGTCATGACTTACGGATGAAATAGGAGGGAAGTGTGAGGGTGAAGCCCACATTTAGAGCCTGGGAGACCCAGAAAATTGATGTGGGGCTTTGGCGGGGTCTTAAACCGTGAAATTAGAAAAATTATAAATTGTCCATACTCTTAGCTTCCCTAACTTGTGGCCAATTCTCCACCATGGAGCTCATCTAGAACCTGGTCTCAGAAACAATCTTCATTTTTTTAAAGTTTAACTTCATTTTAAGTTACACTTCATTTATTTAAGATAAACCTCCCAAGAGACTACATAGGGGTCCACAGAGCCCTGTGAAAATCTGAGTGGGACGCTAAGCACCCTCTCCCCAGAGCATACATATTCACAGAGAAAGTTTTACTTACGTTGTCCAAGGGAGTCACAGACCCCCTGGAGCAGAGCTCTTGGTTCCCAGGTTTGGAAGTCCCGGCTTTGTATTTTATTTATTCGATTTGTATTCTAATTACAGAGCAAGGCCATAAAGCATGTCAAATCCGAAGTTTTCAGGTATGGAAAAATTACTAAACTTAAGATTTAAAGGTAACACAAAGAACTAGAAGAGTCTAATACAATTGACAAGTCACAAAGAGAAGCCAGTTTCTTCTTTCTTGTCTGTTCTTTTTCACTGAGCAATTAAGTAGATAGGTAAAATTAGTACTTAATGACTTGAGTGAGACAAACAAAGCTGCCTTGAGGTCTTAACACTTAACGCTTTATTGCTGGAACCACTGGATGTACTGGCAGTGAAGGGCTTTGACATATTGATCCTTTTGGGGTCGCTTCTATAGGGATTTACACCATCAGCAGACACCAATTCGCATTTCTTTCCTTGGGAGTTCCTTTAATGATGTCCAGAAAACCGTCATATTTTAGTTGCCCCCTGATAAAAAAGGAATTAAGCCATTTTTTTTTTTTGGTAAAAACAACCAAAGTTATTGTCTGTCAAAGATGACTCAAACTAGTTATTACCAACAGGTAAATCAAATACACATTTAAAATAAGATCCTCAACTACATTAGTAATAAACTGAGAAGCAGATTACCATAGATTACTGTATGCATGTGTGAGCATAATGGTAGTCTATCTATACTTAGTTGTACAACATATTCAGTTATACTAGAATACAGGCTGGTCTGATAATTGGAATTCACTATAATAAATACCATACAGGTGAAAATCTGCAATGGGTAAGAACTCAGTCTAGAACTGAAGTTTTAAATATAGGATTTCCCTATTAATTACCAAGCACAGGGTTTCTTTACAGTGACCACAAGTTCCACATCAGTGAGGCGGCAGTCTGCAACTCAAAATATTCTGCCATCCTGCTGAACAGGCAGGTTTACGCTGCCCTGGGCCTGGGGGAGCTTTAAACATCAGGTGAGCTGTAGACACACTTGAACCTCAGCATGTTTAGATCATCTCTGCCTCCAGACCCAGTGGGAAGCTTACAATAAAGAGAAAGCTGGCAAGAAGGGTGCTTGATCAGCTATTAAGTGCCTGCAATAACTAACCAGAAAATGCATTTTCATTTTGAGATTTGAAGGATTTCACAGTTCCTTTTTTCCTGATGACCTCTTGCTTCCCTGGTGACATTCAGTCTCCTGATTAAATCTCTCCAGTACCAGAGATTGTCACTTTAGCACTTTGCTGTCTTGCAAAAGTTATACACACAGTTAATACTATGTAGCTATCCAAAAGTTGTCAGAAAACTAAGATGAAAAAATGCTCTTTAAACTTTAAGTAAACACAGATCACACAAATAGGTACAACAGAATCTTTTTATTTCTTAAAGTTTATATGCATAAAAATATGAAAATGACTGCAATAGTTATTTCCACTGAGTGTTAAGATGAATGCTCCAAAATCATCTTGGTGTTTTCCTGTATTTTCCCAGTTTTTCCTTACAACAAACATGTGTTACTTTTGTAATCAGAAAAAAAAGGGGAGGGGGGTTGGGAGTAACTCTGACAAATAATTTTGAAGTACTGAGTCCCTAGCAAAGTATTTTGCCCAAGACTGCCACACTTAAACCTTAGTAACTACTGCTACTAATTCAAATCACAATAGCACTGGCGCTGTTTGAGCATCCAAACTTTAAATGAAGCTAGAGGTGGAACATGTATCAAGTTCAGCACTCTCAACTGCTATCGTAACCACTCCTGTCAATCCCAGCTCTACAGCTTACTAGCTCCGTGCTCTTTCCTTATCTGTTAAATGAGATAAAAGTACCCTGCTTGTAGGGATGCTGAGGTTTAATAAATTATGTTTCATATATAACAGAATCCGACATACAGTAAGCCTTACATGCACTGGCTATTATTTTCTCCCCAAGCTAACTGCTGGATGGTGACCCACCTCGGTTACAGAAATAAATGTCTTGGGGGAGAAAGATGATACTTATAACGTAAACTCTTAGCACATCAACACAAAAATAAATTACTTTTCCTTGTTATAGATCATTTTCTGATCATTTAACATTATATAAAGTTGTAGAAACAAGTTTCCTTCCATCTTTTATAAGGAAGAAAGAGGAGACAAGTTGTACAGGGGAGTTCACATTCCACACCACTCTACCAGCACAAGAAACAGGCTTGGGCTCCTATATAGACCACAGAACCATTACAAAAGTCACACATTCATATATCTTACACAATGAATTTGTTTGGATCAACTAGTGTTTTTCTCGAACTTACATAACTAAAATTTAAAATGTAAAAATTTAATGTACCTAGTTGTACAAACTGCCAGAAACTATACACTACTTTTCATTTTTAACATTTTGATATCTGCATTCTCCTACAAATACAAAATGAAGCCAACAAAGAGAACGAATTCCTGATCACTTAAATCTATAAAACAGATCACATGCTTTGTGGGCATAACCAAATGTAAAACCTACAGTAGCTTACATTTTGTTCACGACAAGGCCAGTGTGTAAACGCTATCTAGAAACAGTACATCTTCCCAAGAGTAATAAATAAATATTAAACTAAGAGTCATTAAGCATTCAGCAACTGTCAAACAGATACTCATCAAAATGAGGCAAGTCTAATGAGTCATTTGCTAAAGAATTCAACGCTGAAGTAGAAAAAAACTCATCAAAAATATCAGCCTTCATGGGACTTTCCGAGTTCAACGTTCTAACGTCGGCGTTATTTGTGAGTGAGCCTGGCTGCACTCCACACTGATGCTTCTTGGTGGGGCTGCAGTAATTATGATCCTGTCTCAGATGTGTGTTTTGGGGAGTATTGTTTAATTCATTAGGAACTGGTGCTGGGATATGGTTATCACCCATTTCTAAATATCGAAAGTCAGTCTCCCCATTTTCTGAGAGCTCTGTTGAAACAACAGTTGGAGACAGTAGTTCTGCTAAAATTTCTTCATGAGTTTGACTCTTGTATGGGGAAACACTAGAAACTGTGGTGCATTCAGATTTGCTATCGGCAATATCAATTTGATATTGTAGTTCTTTTAACAAGTCTTCTATTGATTCACAATCATCGGGAGACCCACAATGGGACACATGTTCTGAATTTTCACTTGGAAGTGTTCCATTTTGGGGGAAAGACATAAGAGCAGTTAATTTCTTCTTTTTTGCCTTAAGTTTTTTAAGAAGTTTTAGACGAAGTTTATGAATCTGACCCTCAACTGGGTCCCCATGGTTTGCTGCAGAAACACCATTTTCATTCCCATGAGAACTGTGGTTGAGGTTAGCTCCATATGAGGTGTTTCCACATTTCTTCGGAACTTCCGAGTCACCACTACTACTTGCTTGCAGAGAAGCGGTGCTGACTGACGATGAATGGCTTGGTGAAGGGTTACTAACTGGAGGAGACTTACTTGCACATCTGTGAGCTTTCCTGGATGCCCGACTAGCCTTCTGTTTTGTACCTTTAGTTTTAAAGCCACCAAAATTACTTGCCCCCTTAACTGAAGGCTGCAGATCAGTTATAGCGTTTCTATTATGAGCTGAAACACAAGGTGGCATAAAAGAAGCACCCTTGCTTAATAAGCCTTTAACCCAACTTCCCACAAATGGCTTCTTCTGATTTTCTTTCAGAGATGGATTTTGTAATGACTTGGACAATGCTGCAGTTTCCTTTTCCTTCAAATTGGACACCTGAGATATAACACGTTGTTCTGGTTTTAACTTCTCAGTTTTTGGTGAAAGAAATTGTTTTGGTGGAGAATCCTTCTCTAGGGCAACTGTACGTTCTGTTTCTGCTGACTTTACTCCCTGTACAGGGTCAGTAGCATGAATACCATTCACAGATTTACTAACTACAGCATCTTCTGTATTCAGCTGTAGTGATGTCATGTTTGTATTTACAAGAGGAGATGAAAAGTTTAAATCCACAAAATGGTCTTGCGCAAGCTTGTCCTTGCATGGAGCTGATACTAAAGAAGCCATTACTGACTCTCGCAATTGCAAAGTATTTGTTTTGACAACTCCTGTATTTTCTGCCACAGGTTTATGTTCTAATAAAAAACCTTCAGAGTTAACCTGTATTTCTTCAAGGGTCAAAGGTAAAATATTGTCAACCAAATCTTTCGGATCTGAAAGTAAATGATGTCCAAGGGCTACAGCTTCATCTTGTGAAAGAGTATTAGGACCAACTGACACGTCTGTAGGGTGATTTCCTGTGGACGTTTGGGCTGAGGCAGCATCACCCACAGAACACAATGCTGGCGAAACTTGTTTCTCATCACCGAAATCATGTTGCTCATTAGTCTTTTTAAGGAGACAGCAGGCAGATGCTTTGTCTGTCATTTGGGATGTCTTTCTTTCCCAGATAACAATATGTATCTCTGAAGAAGGAACTTCAAATTTCTCTCGCTTTTCAGAACATGGGCCTTTTAAGTCATCACATTCCAGCCAACTTCCTAGGGGATGGGGAATGAAAGTGAAAGAGGTTAGACATTCAAAAAAAACTCTGCCTTCCCAGGCCAACTTTCTTTGGGCCTTTTTAACTGCTGCATCACTGGATAGTCACCAAAGGATGACACTCAAGAACATGGCTTTAACCTCACATCACCATCTTTCTCTACCAAATGTTCACGCCTTTACTTGGATAACACAGGTTATGGACCAACAGCCAGATAAGTGAAAAACGGAGATAGTGTTTACTCTTTTCTAAAATGCCCACAAAACAAGACAGAAAATTGTATTTTACTTCTGAAACTTAGAATACAGTATCACTTAATACAACTAACAATATCAGAATGTAAATTATTTCCATACATATGAATTTTCAAGATAAATGAAACTTGTTATCTCAAGTACCAACACTTAATTCTGTATTTCTCTTTTTGGTTAAAAAAAAAAAAAGTTTAGATTTTTAGGTGTCGGCTCTTATTTCTGAGCTCCTGTTTTCTCATTTGTCAGGTGGGAATGAGATGATGGATGACAGAGGAAGAGGTTGAGGCCCCTCTACACACCAAAAAATCCGAAATAAAACCATCTGCTAAGTTTATGTGGAGACACTCTTACAAGCTATCTGAACCCACTACTTCTTATCCTATATGTATTAAAACTTTGAGAATCTTCTGTTTGCCTACATCAGTGGTTCTTCACCACACATGCATATTAGAATCACCAGATTATTTGGGTCCAATCCTCAGAGACTGATCCATTGGAATGGGAGAACCAGGATTTTCTTTTTTTATAAGCTAACCATACAGTTTTTATATGCTGTCAGGGTTGGAAACTATTTAACCTCTTCTACCTGAAGAGGATTTTTTATTCTCTAGAATGCAATAAAAAATCAAAACTTTTTTTTTAGTTTTTTTATGTTGAGAACCACCTTCCTCCAGATTCTAAAGTAGGTTATAACTATTTTATACATGAGTTTCAATTTGCAAAGTGCTTTTATAAACACATTATCATGTCACCTATCTAAATGATCCCAAACAAAAGAAAACAGAAAATTAGGGAAAAAATTCAAGTGAACTCTTACCAACAGCCTGACAAAAAACTTTAAGGAGACTAAGTTATCTTGTCTAAGACAAAGTGAACATTATTATAAGGGGAAACAAACTCAATAGTAAACCACATTAAACATACGGAAGGGAAAAAATCAGCAAAATTTATGAGCTGTACTATTTAACCTTCTATTGAAAAGTTTAATTATTTAAATACAGGCTTTACGTTGACTATAGTTATTAACTATGGATTTCAGATATTCTATTTCACAGTGAGAGAAGGTTAAACAGAGTCTGTAATATTTATATTACTAACAATTTTATTTATATTATTTACTTTTATTTATATTACTAACAATTGCAAACTAAGCAAAACTTATTGTTCTCAACCAAAAGCCTCTAGTCAATGCACCTTCTTCAGAAGTATAAAGTTATAAATCTAAAAAATCAAAATTCCCACCGTTCATTTTCTTCCCTGAACATGTATTACTCATGTAATAAAAAGAAAGAAAAGCAAAGATATTAAGTGAAAAAAAGCAAAATGTAAACCAACAGAAGTATATGATCTCATTCTTTGTCTAAAAAGAAATATGCACAGGCATGTGTAAACCCATAAATATGTTGATATAAATAAGCAAAGGTAGAAGTTAGGAGAGATTCCAAACCCTAGTGACAGGGTGGAGGACAGGGACAAAATGGCTCTAGGCAAGGACAAGGAGAGTCAAGGCAGAGTTTGTCTTTAAAGAACAAACTAGAGTTAGTCTCCAAGCCTATTCTAAGAAAAATGTTTAAACACTTACCATCAGCATCTAAAATCCATGTTATAAAATGATTGTTTGCTTGGTACTGAATTACAGAAGTTATTTGGTAAAGACAGCCTTCAGAGTGAAATGAATAGTGCTCCAGGTCACTATGCGGTAAGCCTTCCACAAAGTGCAGCATGAATATGGGAGATACTCTGTGGGAGAGAAAGGCGAGACAAGTCGAACAAATGTAACACCATGCGTCTGGTGATACAAAAGATGGTCTGAAGCAAGTCAGTCACACATAACACTTTCAAGGCCAACTGCATTAATTTTTCTTGAGAACCTCCAGATGTGTGCCTTAATTAGAAATGGAGAACTCACTCTAAGAAGTATGTAACAATAAACCCTTCTCAAAATGTATCACTGACAGTTGGAAGCCATCATGCAATAAGGTTCTAACACAGACCATTAAACAAAAATTGCTCTGTAAGCCGCAATGCGGCTTTGGCTTAGAGAAGATTTCTTGGTAACTACTTTGCAGAATCAAAGGAAAAAATCCATGCCTTTTAGTATTTTCTTTGGCACCAAGTGCCCAAATTAAAAATTGCTTTTTGTTACATGGGACAGGTAATGTATGGGAAAAACAACTCCAAAACCTAAGGTATTAAAATAAACATTTAAAAAATCCCAACATGCTAATAATTTGGCCTATTTCTCTGTTTTCTCAACAAGTAGAGAGATAAAAAAAAAGTAGAGCAATCTATCAAATTAAAATTTCTACTTACAAAAAGTTTAATTTGTAACTAAGTAGAGAAGAAAATACAACACACTGGTTGGTCTACTAAACTTCAAGACATCAATAATTTCAAAAGTACATTTCATTATTACAGTAACATGCCAAACCAGAAAAAAGAACCCAAAGATAAGCCTCACTCAAATAACTAAATTTAACAAACTTATCGAGATTTAGGGAAAATATTGAGTATCTCTCTTCCCATGATTTAAATAGTTGTCAAAACTTACTTAGCTTATCAAAATTTATTCAACTGAAATAAACATGAATCAATGTCCAAAATGCAGATTATTCAGTCTATAATTTACAAATTATATCTTTGTAAATTACAAAGATAATTTACAAATTATCCCTTGTCAGTCTTTCTGTTAGAAAAAAATCGAGTCTTTAAAATTTAAGTACTCATTAATAAAAAGTCCTGCAAAACTGTCTATAACACTAAACTTCCATTGTTTTTGTCACACATATTTCATTGATCTAAGATGACACTGATTATAAAATGTACCATTATGAAAGAAGACTGCCAATTAAACTATCTCATGCCATTAATTTTTAGATGTACTCCCATTTCAACTATGTCAAAGGTGAGAGAGCATTTGAATCAACGATCCACAGTAAAACTAGAGATTACATCCTCACAGCTGGATATGCAGGCTTTAGGTAACTGCTTGACTCTTTAAGTATTAATATTTAGTTTTTTTGGCCTAACATGACACCTCTTCAAGATATTTGCTTAGGCTAGTCACTAAAACATTCTCTTATCCCTAGACTATGCAATCTAACTAGTTTCCTCTCTTCTTTATATGAGTTTTCACATGGAAAATGTTAAATAGGCAGCATTTACTTCTTTGGCATATTTTTAAAATGGTACAACTCACATATGTTGGCATCTTGGAGTCAATAAAATGAAGCATATGCTTCCTCCTTTTCTAGTTTATTTTCCTCTCTAGGTCTTGTAGACCCTAGAGACCCCTAGAAATCACAGTATTTTCCTACCCATAATTCCCACTTGCCTCATTTCCAGCCTGTAGGTGAGGAAGGAATTTTACCACCCTGGCAGTAACAGGTTTTTGATCTTGGGCTTCCTCACTTGAGTGTGTAAGATGATGCTCAGAGCGGAAGAGAGCAAGTTAGGTTCTGATTCAACAATAAAAAACTGAATGCAACAGGTTAACAGAGATGGAATCAAGAGTCACAAGAGATTTCAAGCTAAGATCCATTTGCATTCGCCTCCCTAACAGGAGGATCTACCCTCAGGAAAAGACAAGAAAACAGGAAAGAGAGAAAGCAAGCACAGAACACTGAATCTGTTCCACAAACAGTAGCCATCTTGTGCTAATGGCCTGGAGTACAAGTTTTTGATTTTCATCTCAACTAATGTAATATTCATTCATATTTTAGAAAATGTATATTTAACAATGTGTATCTATGTACTTCTGAACTCTTAATAATGTAGGCTTTAGGCAGAAAAAATCTGCAAATGTAATTTTTAAATCTCATATTTTAGATCTATTATATCATTGAACTATTTTGGAATATGGCAGAAAATAAAAAATACCAGTAAAACTAGGTATAGTTCAAATAATCAGAATTGGTTCATGTCAACTGTAAATAAGAAAATACATCTTTAGAAAAATTCAGCTGTTTCACGAAAGTTTACAAACTGTATTCTCAGGAGGTAATTCAAGGATCTCACAAATAATAACGTACTTCCTGCCAAACAGCGAAGATTTAAATTAAGAAACACAATTTAAACTATTTTACATATCAGTATTCCATCCAAAATTTGCAGGGGAGAGTGTAGTTTATTGTTTAAAAAAGTCTCAAAATCATTGTATTAGGGACTTAAAGAAAGCTCTGTGAGCACAGAATGGAAATGTCTTATTTCAATTCTGTCACTCCTTTATCCTTCACAAGCAGTTGTTTTTAAAAAAAAAAACAACAAACTGTTAAAACTGAAGTTTAGGTAAATAAGCTTTTCAAAAGACAACTGAGGAAAGTGTATGGCTAGACACCTAAAGGAGACAGTGGCAGTAATGAAAGGTTCATTTGAAGAGTTTGTGAAGTAGAGGGGAGGGTACAGCTCAAGTGGTAGAGTGCATGCTTAGCATGCATGAGGTCCTGGGTTCAATGCCCAGTATCACCACTGAAAAACCAAATAAATAAGTAAACCTAATTACCTCCCCCTCAAAAAAAAAAGTTTATGAAGCAAAATTAAATCACATTCTAAGTCCATGTCATCATGTTCTGGATATAATTTTTAAACATTAAATAAAAGTAGCAGATTTGGACCCACTAGATACAATCCATCTGATTTATCAATGGCCGCTTTTCTATAATGGGAACATAGAGAGATATGGATTACCTGAAACAAGGTATTCAGGGAACTTTCAACATGATTCGTTTTTAGAATGCTGTAAGACTGAATTATGTACAATATTATGATGGGCTGAATTACTTTTAAGTTATCCTAAAAGCTGTATTAAATTTGTTTCTAAATTCCACTAGATATCAACAATCAATTTACACAAATTTCAAAGTAAATAAATTACAAAGGACTAAAGACCTTGCCATTTAAAATTTAAGTGAAATTTTACACACTAGTTCAATTTACTTTTGAATACAGTAAATTCTGTATTCAAAATTATAAATTCTGCTTATAAATTGGCCCATTCATTAGAACTCTAAACACATTTCCTGTTGAAACACTAGATACATTTCCAGATCACAGTATGAATTTTTAAGTAAAGCAATGTATTTGTATAATTAAAAATTATATGTTGCAATGCAACAAATTAACAGATCAAACAAGATAGTAGTGAGTTTACCTTCAATGCCTGGGCTTGAGAAAAGCAGGTAAAACTAAGTTACATAGACTAAGAAGCCTCAAGTGATCACGGTCCAGCGCAGGATGACAGACCCCCACATCCTGTTGCCCCTCTATCACCAAGGAAAGCACTTTATAGAAAAAGGATCTCCTCAAGACTGAAATCTCCAAACTTGGACCCAGACAGCCAAGACAGACTATGGACTTTTGATTAAAGTTACTCACTCTTCTTTTTTCTACTCTGCCTTTCCACTTAACTGCTATCAAATGATAGTGAAGGACCAAAAAAAGGTAATAAACCAAAAGGACAAAGAAAGGGAAAGGAGACAAGAGCAAAACAAGAAGATGATAAGTATTTAGAAGACAAAAAAGCAAACAGAAAAGTAGTAACTTGGCAGAACGAGTGAAGTGACGACATGAGCGTAACAGAATGCAATGCTGATGGGAAGAGCTTATATGCCCCACAGAATCCCAAAAAGACTCAATGCTGACAGGCAATAGATGCTGAAGAACAGGGGTATTCTTTTTTTCCATTAAGTTTTGGCACTATTAGATTAACTGAGAATTTATTACTTGGATGAAAACAAACCTTTAGGAAAGGTTCTGAAGGGTTTCTTGGCACATGCAAGGGCAGCCGAAAAGGTTAATGTCATTGGTTCATAATTACATCAAATTAAACCTCAAAACATTTCCTTTATGAATTGAGATAAGGGCAACTGAAAGTACAGATTAAAGACAAGGTGTGTGAGTATATTAACAAGAGAGACAAACTGCCTAAAATGGGATTGACCTGTGAGTTTTTAAAGATATGGGGCTTCTGATAATACTGGAAAAGATCGTTCTGACCAGTCCATTGACTGAGGACAAGTAGAAGAGCTGGCAAAATATAATAAAAACACATCTGCTCAAGGGCAGCAGAAAGCTTACAAGAGGATGAAGAATTAGCAGGCCGAGATCTGGAAGAAGACAGAAATTCAGACAGATAAGCCTGTAGCTCATCTTTGAATCATCTTAGTTCTTGAAAATAGATTAAGGAAATCCTAGAATTCTAGTGACTCCAGGCACTTGGCAGAGGAGACAAAAATTGGACTCTAATATCCCTAAAAAGAGAAAAACGGCAAAAGAAGGAACAATGCTGAAGAGTGGAGTCAGACAATCACTCTAAGTTAGCTCCACAGCAGTGTCACCTGAACAGCTTGTTTATTGGCCACAGTTCCTGGTACAGAGAAGCATTCTGGCAATTCATAAACATATATTAACACAAACTTCTGAAAAACAGATTGTAGTCATCACTTTTAATTCTACACACTAGAAAAAAAAAAAGTAAATCCACCTTCATTTTGTTCTAAAAATATTAAGGCAAGTTAAACTCACTTTTCTAATACCATTTTTCTTATTTGCGACTTATTGTTGCAATTGTTACATGGACCAAAATGGGCAGCATTAAGTGGGTGCCAATCAGGGATGACATTTGTAAAGGTGACCAGATTCTTCATATATCTAGTTAAAAAAAAAAAAAAGACATAATTTCAATTAAGTTATATTCATTTATGTTAACTTAAATCAATGTCTAAAATAAAAGGTACTTTCCTGTATTCGTTTATTCATACTTTTCTAATCCCCTAATCAACATACAAATGTGTTCCTCCTTAACCCTAGTAAAGCTCTCTCCATATTTAATTACCTGTAATTTTTCAGCAATGAGATGAAGAAAATGATAAAGGCAAGGTTTCTCAAGAGCAATACCATTGCTACTCTGCACTGGGTAATTCTTTGTTGTGGGCCATCGTTCTGTGCATTGTGGGATCTTCAGCCTCATGCCTGGCCTCTACACACTACATGCCAGGAACAGCCTCCAGTTGTAGCAACCAGTTATCTCCAGTCACTGCCAAATGCCCTGTGGGGCAAAAAATAGCCCCTGGTTGAGAACCACTGTTCTAAGGTTTTCAAATCTATTAAAAGCTCACCCCTTAAAAAATTCAGTTTGGCTATTCATTATCAACAATCACAAATGAAAAGGGGAATTTAAAAAACATATATTCAGGACGATGAACAACTTAATTTTGATCCTTAAAATATTAGAACACTGGTTGTGAAGGAATTTTGTTTTCACCAATTCTAAATTTGCACTTTAGCCTGAATACTCGGTAGCAATAGGCATCTAAAAATCTTTAAATATGTACACTGTACCCCAACCAGATCTGCTTTATTATCTTTTTTTTAATTGAAGTAGTCAGTTACAATGTGTCAGTTTCTGGTGTACAGCATAATGTTTCAGTCATACATATATATATACACATATATACATAGATTCATTTTCATATTCTTTTTCATTATAGGTTACTATTAATATCTTTAAAAGAACAATTATTAATTACCCAAGAGAGAAACACTAGCCTCTTTCCTAAACAATAATATTGATAAATCATAAGTGAGATAAGCACAAGCTGTTAAAAATAGATCAGTTCTCCCAGAAGAACATTTTAAAAACAAAGCCACATAAGGTATCAACAAATGCACTATTTCTGCTAAATTCTTAGTTCTCAAAGATAAATGTTAAGCAAAGGCTCCCATTTTTTAGTTAATAAAAGGGACTTTGTCTTAGCAAATAAGTGTTCATGCTCCACATGACATCTAACATTTTTTTGTTTGTTTGTTTGTTTTTTTTGACATCTAACATTTTTGATTACTTACTAGGTACAAGGCACTGTGCTAAGCACTCATCTTCAAACAAACGGAAGAGGCAGATACTACTCTTATCCCCATTTTACAGATGAGGTAAGTGAGATCTAGCATGTACATCAGATGATAAATGACAGACCTGAGATATGAATCCAGGGAGTCCAACTCCAAAGACCATGTTTTTAACTGCCTCCAGAATATACCTTCTAAGTCAAGTAAAAGCTCTTAAACTGACACTAAAAATAGCAGCACAAAAATGAATGAGTTTATTGGATATTCTTCCATCAGATTAATTGGAAATAACTTTTAAGCTATCATATATTACAATGTAATGAAATGCCACTTCATTTTAGCTTTTTCTCTGTAACTACTTTTATCTTAAGAATTAAAAAATTTAAAAAAAAGAAAAAAAAAGAAAAAAAAAAAAGGAAACCCAAGTGGTTGACGGCTTCTCTCCCTTGAGCCTGTGGTTTTTTCCATACAGCTCCAAAATGCACCTAATCACCTTGTATTCAAAGCCAATAGATCAAAATAACTACTAACTCACTGGCCCTCTATCATGTTCGTATGTTATTTCCCTAACCAACTGGTCGGAATTTGGCCAGGATAAAGATTATTTCTGTTGAGGTCCTGGCACATAAAATATGCTCAATGAAAAGCTGTCAAATAACTGAGATGGAGATTGGGAAAAGCTGTAGTTAAGCTGATTTTAACCATCAGGCTTGTTTATATTACTTAAAATCCAGGCGGTGACTAGTCAGTGTACCACAGTGAGCAGGTAAGTCTTAGAGAACAGAAAACCTAAGCCTGAATTTTGCCACTTACTAGTGTGTCACCTTGGGCATCAATTTAACCCCTTTCAAGCTTCAGTTTCCATATCTGTCAAATGAGGAAAAAAATCAGGTAATTTACAGAAATCCATGATAGAAGACCTCGAAGCAGACATTTGTTCTCATACTCACTTACACAAAATTACTCTAAGTCCTAGGTATGAGTGAAATGCTAATTCTTACTCTGTTCTAGTACTTCCGAGTTAACTGGTAAAAAAAAGAAAAAATGTTTCCTGATTCTGTAGCTTGGATTCCCTGCAGCATTCTCTCAGACTTAACTTTCCTCGATTGTTCCCTAAAATACCTAAAAATAATCTGAACTTAGATACTGAATGGCTAAAGCAATATTTTTCTCTTGTACTTTAATTTAATAACATTAAGAGACTCCAAATTTTCTAATAGGTGAATTTAAGAAAAGAAGATGAGATTCATCTCTATTATAATAATCTGAATAAATGACCAGCAGGAAGAGTTTGGTCGTCTTTGACTGCCGGCCAGCCAGCAGCTTTCTCATACGTGGACAAAGGGAGGGTGTGCTGTATGATGAACTCTGGCTCCATTTCTAAATCCTAACTCCTCTCTTTATTTATATGGTAGGCGTGCGGGAGCAAAATAAATCTGCAGCTTCCTTCTTCTCCTTGCTTCCTCCCAGTACCAATCTCAGGGCCTGTAGGTCAATGAAGATCCCTCTAATCCTCATCCAGAGGCATCAGGGAAGTAGAAAGTATGGCTGAGACAGCTCACATGTAGAAGGGTTCTGGTGGTGACGGGTCTTTCAGAAAATGAAGGGAAGGAACTGGCAAGTTTAAGTTACCTCTGAGAACTGCTGCTGCCAGACTATGGGAGCCTAAAATCAAGTTTCCATGATGTTAAAAACAAGCAAACAAAAACCCCAGTCCCTAAGATAGCAGTGAACAAAACATACAGTTTTTCAAAGAATTCTGAGAGGCATTCTTTCTCAGCAAGGAATCCAGAGGGCAGTGCAGGGGAACGTGACACTTCTCCCATTTGTCCCCACGTCCACTAAAGAACTCAAGAACACATCCTCTAATAATCTATCAAAACGTGTTTTCGTTTTGTTTTAACTCTTCCAGTTTGAAGAAGCAAGCAAACAGCACTTCCTGGGGCTTATTTTTCCTTTTAACCTTAAGGGTGGAGAGACTTCAAGATATGGTGGGAAATTTCATCAAGTGCAGAAGAAACCAGAGAGAGAGCTGTGCTATGGGTGGAAGCAAGTTTTCTTCAAATTTTATTACTCAGAATCATTTTTTAATAGAATGAACCCATTTTAAAAAACAGAAAAACTAACCTGTTTTGATACTTGTGTCCACATTGTGAGCATTCAAAATTCCAAGAAAAAGTATATGTGAAGAGCTTTTCAACATGCAGTTCTGTTTTTAAGAGCAGAGGAAATGCAAACACTGGGCTTTCCATATCACCTTGAAGAAGAGAAAGAAAAATTATTGCTCATAATTAACTGAAAAAAAGTAAACTGAACTTATGAACTGTTTTCTTTTCTCACTATATTCACAGTATGAATATACGCATATAATGTATGTATGATAAAGTAAGTTATTTACAATTGGGTAAGGTAAGTTTTCAAAGCATTTTTTTAAAAATGTCCATCATAAAGATTTATTTAACACTCAGTGTCTTTCATTTGTCTTGGTGGACATCTATGAAAACTTCTGAAGACCCCTAAGATCTCCTCAGATCTTTTTAGCTTTTCTTCAGGAAAAAAAATCCTCAGAACTGTAATAGCCCTAGAGTATAGAACAGAACAAAAATATGTACAGATTTGTTTGGCACAAATACTAAAAATAATATAACTGGTGAAACACTGTAGACTAATAATTTCAGAGTTGGACAAAACCATTAAGAAGCCATCTCTATTCCAACTCTCTTGTTCTACATGTGGAGAGGGCATGACAAAGACACATGAGGGTTAAAGGACTAGACTCAAGCCTCCTGACTCCTCAGCTACCATTCTTCTTCATCGTTCAACAATTAAAATTAAACTTCAACAACTTTAAAGCTAAAGAAGATCTGAATTTTGTTGTCATTAAAACAAAAACCAAACTGTGAATTCTGTCTTTCAGTGTTGAGACCAGCAAGCAAGTCAGTAGGAGGATTTATTTTCTCCTCTTGCATTCATCCTCCAATTGGTTTCCTTCCTTCCTATCCTCCAGCAAGGTTAGATGCAGCCTTACTGATTTGGCTCTAGAGAGAGTCTGAGTACTTCCACCCCTTCCCTCCCCTGGGACAGTCTCACATCCACGGTTCAGTTCTCCCCCTGGCCTGGAACTACAGCTGCCTGGAATGCCACCAGGAGGAGTCACCTTGGCAGGACCAAAAGGCGGAACAGTGGGTCTTATTACCTAAGCATACTCTATAAATACCAGTGGTCACAAAGGCTATTTTAATAGTCATCTCTGTGGTATAGTCCTGCTACTATTTTTGTACAAAAACAGAGTCAAAACAAAATATTTTTTATAAATAGAAATCAGTCTCCTAAAAATGAACATATGCAATACCATATGCATAAAGTGTGCAGTATAGCATGAGTGTGTAATTAGTTATCAGCCTTTAAATGCTTACTCTATTGTAAGTAAATATTAAGTGAAAAAGCAAATAATTTATACTTCATAATGACAACATAGAATCTTTTTTTAATACTTTTATTGAGTTATAGTCATTTTACAATGTTGTGTCAAATTCCAGTGTAGAGCACAATTTTTCAGTTATACATGAACATACATATATTCACTGTCAGTCTTTTTTTCACTGTGAGCCACCAGAAGATCTTGTATATATCTCCCTGTGCTATACAGTATAATCTTGTTTATCTATTCTGCATATGCCTGTCAGTGTCTACAAATTTTGAAATCCCAGTCTGTCAACATAGAATCTTTAGGTCTAAAAATACATAAGTTGTCTATGAATCAAAATGTCATGAGAGAGCTCAAAACACAGTTAAATAAGTTACATGATTACAGATCATATTAGGTAATTTATATAGCTCCCAAACTGACCTTAATTATTTCTCCTTTGAGTGTAAGTTTTATGGGTATAAAGCACCCTACTAGAGCACATATAATACCAATGTCTAATTCTAATTTTCATAACCTCCTGCCTAAATTAGTTGTTTCTTTGCCTCTAGTAACTTAACCCCAGCTCCTAGGGTTATATCCCAATAAATCTTTATACCATGAGTTGAATATATTGTTAAGTTGAAAATGCATTTAATACCCCTAAACCTACCAAACATCACAGCTTAGCCCAGCCTACCTTCAACGTGCTCAGAACACCTACATTAGTCAACAGCTGGGCAAAAATCAACTAATACAATGCCTATTTGTGTTGAATACCTCATATAATTTATTGAATACTATACTGAAAGTGGAAAACAGAATGGTGGCCTGGGTCAGGAACGTGTAAGGGTGCCCACCGCTCACCCTCGTGACCACAGGGCTGCCTGGCAGCTGCGGCTGCCCAGCATCACAAGTGAGTACCGAGCGGCTTATCACTAGCCCAGCAAAAGTCAAATCCAAAATTCCAAGCGCAGCTTCTGCTGAATGCCTTTCACACCACTGTAAACTCAAAAAATCGAAAGCTGGACCATTGCAACTTAGGGATCATCTGTACCTAGTACATTTACCATGATGCAAACCTTTCAGTGACTCTCTGCTATCTAGCCATTCAAGTTTTCTCTTCCAGTAACTGCTTATCAATGTCTTCCGGCCACTTTTCTATCAGTTTTTGTCTTTTTCTTTTGGAACTGATGGACTAGAGTTCTTTAATAAGATACCCTAGATATTATTTCTTTGTTTTATCTTTGCCCAGAGGTTTTAAACTTTTGTGTAATCATATTTACCAATCTCTTATCTATCTTATTTAAGAAATTCTTCTCCATTGAATGTTTAAATATTCACCTATATTTTCTTCCAAAGTTTTACAACTCTTCTTTCCATATTTAGGTCTTAAATGTGCTGAGGTTTCTTTCTGATTACGGTGTGAAGGACGGAACTATTTCAGGAACTGACTGTACCAAGCACCATCTGAGCTAGATAGCCTTTTCTTTCCCCCATTATCTGCATCACTACCTCAAGCAGCTGTGATGTAACCAAATGGGGAGGATCCTGATCTGGACTCTCTATTCTGTTCTACTGGTCTGTTTATCCTTACACGGGTACACAACACCCCAACACTAAATTACGCTTTAAAATTACATAAACAAGTAGAAATCATAACAATATTAGCTTTTTCCTTAAAAAAAAAAGAAATATACAGATTAGAGGGAAAGAAAACACCAAATTGAAGATAGTAGTTACCTTTGTGGGGAGGTAAGGGAGAATTGGGGAAGAGTACATAAAGGGCTTCAGTTGTATTTGTAATGTTATATTTCTTACACTGCGGGAGAGCAGAGAGGATAGTTTATAGTGTGTTTTTCAAAAACAATCATCAAAATGATAAAGTGCCTGGCTGATTCTGTGTCAATACAGTTCCACTTCTCTTTCTTTAGTATTTTAAAATATACGTTAATATTCTGAACGAGGACACATACATTTTTAAGACTTTAAAAGTGCTCCCTGAAGCAAAGATTAGATTTCATTAGTAAGATGCTAAGCTCTTTGTGGCACCTCTCACTGCTGACTGGGTAGTACAAACGCAAGTAAGAGGATTCTACTGTATTGGAAGAGCTGTATGCTTGCTCGATTGCTGTGAGTGCACAAAATTTTAAAATCCCTTCTCTGTTACACAGAAAACCAGGCCGAAGGTGGCAATGGGGAAAGATGCAACCCTGTTCCAAGCATAACTCACAAGGATAAGAAGAGTGATCAATCAGACTGGGAAGAAACCAATCTTTAATTAAGTTAGGAACTGGAGTAGGGAACCTGAATAAAACATCTCAGGTCACTCTAGGAGGGAAAATGACACCTGCAAAATGCAACATGGGAGCCCCTCAGTCTACACTCTGGTGATCTTATGGAAAAGGCTCCTTTGAAACGAGTATCCAACCATCAGATCAGTGGTTGTGGGTTAGGAGAGGGGCTGATTACAAAGGAGCCTGGAGAACATTTTCATGGTGATAGAACTGTTCTATATCTTGATTGTGGTAATGGTAACACAACTGTACACGTTATATGTAAATTATACTATATGTAAATCACACTTTAATAAAAAGAGAAAAAGAATATTCATTCCATTTGAGATCCCACCTGATAACAAATTAGAATAGCCCTCTAGTCCTAGGAGGCAGCAATGCCAAAGATCTGGCGTATGGAAAATCAGTTTATTATTACAACAAGGTAAACATCTATACGTAGGAGTTCATGAAAAACAAAACAGTAAAACCAGGGGACAGAACTGTGAGACAAAGAAATAGGAGATACTACCATGCAAAAAAGACATGACTTCTAGATACACCATCTGGGTCTGATGAAATAAATGCTGCTTATTGAGAGAAAAACTTGAAGGTATTGAAATTTTACGTAATTAAATATGGATATTATACAAATAGGGTTATCATGTATTCTACCACCACAACATTAATCGAAGAGTTAGTACAAAGATAAAAGAGAAATAAAACAAAAAGATGGCCCTCAAAAAATAAAAAAATCACTACCAGCTCCTTTTTGGTAATACGGAAAAAATGTATAAAGATGTAGAGACCCTGGTGCCCCAGCCCTGCTCCCAGGGCCAAAGCCCAGTCACAGAGGGCAGAGCAGGTCTCACTCGGGTGCCCTTTTTAAAGGCAAGAAAACGTCCCCAAAAGGTCAGCAGTGTATTTCTCCTCATGTTCCATTGGCTAAAATTGCACCATATGCCCACTCCTAAACCAATCACTGGTGGGGGAAATAGAATTATTATGGTTGCTTTAGACCAGAGATTCTCAAGCCTGTCTGCCCACAAGAGTCACATGGGGACTTCTAAAAATTCCTGACAGTTCAACTCCATCCCTGAGACTCATTTAATGGGCCCTAACACTAGCATTTAGTTTTAAATTTCCTAGGCACTTTTTAAATACACAGTCAAGGCTGAAAACACTGCATTAGTCTACTGGAGAAAGCAGCCAATGGTGTACCACGTATTTACCTGGTTCTGGGAACTGCATCCACCCTGAAGGGGAGGAACATATGCCTGCATGTTTATATAGAACAGCTCTGTCCACGAATGATTTAACCAGTGAGATTCCTAAATGAGTCTACCCAGATTCTCTCTTCTAAGAATCTGACCATCCTAAGTAATAAAACAGTATTATATTTCCTTATGATGAAAGTATGTCTTTATGGTAGAAGAATAATAGTTAAAGTCCACAAATTACTTACCTAATGTGCATCGAAGCTGAGGCTGAAGCTTAATAAAAATTTCATCTCTGACTTCATTCAGGTAGGTCTCTATTTGTGTAAATATTTTGGAAGTAAGTTTTTTACAATCTCCATCTAATGATAAAATATAGAACATTTTCAATTTCTCATCAACCTGTATCTTTCCACAGACAATTAAGACATTACCAAAAATGAAAGTTTGTCAGAGTCAACAAATTTTGCAGAGACAAAATGGAAAACACAGAATTTCTTAATTTTGTCCTCCTCTCTCTGTGGTGTACCATATATTCCCTCAATATCTATTCACAGCACAATAGCATTAGTACTGACTGCTTGGGTCAACATCATTCTGCCCGAGTAAAACATCAGTGAAAGCCCTTCTCATCCAAACAATCAAGGTCAGCTAAAGAGCTAAGCTATCAGGTATTCTGCCTATCCCCGAAACAGCTGAAGCTGTTTCTTTACAAGCAAATATTACTTACGCTAGAGACATCTATTCACTTAGTCCTCTTTGTATAATTTTTATTGAACTTAACTAGATCATAGGAGCAGATAAATTTATAAAGAGTCTTAATAAAGTTATGATTATTTCCTAAATTAACATTTAGTGTGTTTTCCTCCTCTATGTCTTTTTTTGGGGGGGGGGGCGGTGAAGGGGTCTGCAATGACATCATTGCATTTTGTATGAGTCCACATTCTGTTTTTTTCACATAAATTTGCTTCAATAAAAACTCTGCAGGTTAGTTACTACACTCCAACTGAACCATAGTTTTATGAACCATTCCCTATTGCTGGACGTTTGTTTCTTTCTTCTCTATTACAAATACTATTATGATAAACACCTTTGAGCACATACATACCTGTCCATGTTTTTGATCATTTCCTTAGGGTAAAAGTCCTCAAAATGGAATTATTGTGACAGAAAACTACCCAAGATTAGTAAGAAGATTATTTTGAATAAAAGCCTCCATACACATCTGACTCCAGATACTCTTAAGCACAAACAGATCTTTTCACTCAAATCTCTTACAAATAATTCATACAGCCTGACCACACTCTGCTTGTATGTTTCATTATGAAAACATCTGGAGTCTGCTGTAATATGAAGTAAACATTAACCAGAATTTCTGTTATTTGACCACACCAAAAAAGAGAAAACTTACAATTCAAAGTAATGCCGTTCAAACAAATGCAATTATAACTATATTATAAAAACTACAATTATCCTGCAAAAAACTAATGTAATATTAAAGTACAAAATTAAAATTAATTCACTATTCAAGCCAAAATTTGAATGAAATATGTTCTTCTACAACAAATAACTGTCACCTACTCAGTATTGTGGCTCCTGTAGTTACAGAAAACAGAAATAAAGAGAAGAAAAGTCAAAAGCAAAAATGCGAGAAACTGAATTTTCAAAACTGCAAAAAAAAATTCAATCTCAAACAAACTCAAACTGGAACAAAATATTTCTTATCTAACAAAATTACAACTTTTTAAATGTTTCTATCCAAAGGTGACTGGAACGCCCTAGAATGTTTATTTCTACATATGAAAATGGAGTTATTATGTTGGTATAACCCTTCCAGAAAGTCATTCAAACAGACTATAATTTTAACATCCCTTCTAGGGTATAATCAGCAATGGATTCAAAGGATACATGGATATTTGTCATGGTATTTACACATAAAAGAAAAAAAAGATAAATGGTAAGTAGCCTGAATGGTTAAAAATAAGGAAACAATGTACAGGTCCTGGGTTCAAACCCCAGCACTTTCATTAAAACAAAACAAACAGAAAAAGACTGCATGACCAAAGTCAAGTTAAATGAAGACAAATATTCTTATACTACTGGATAGCAAGACCTAAGAAGTCATAATAAAAGGAACAGCTGCACACATATGCAGAATGTTATATGACAAAAGTGGCATGGCAGATCAATTGAGAAGAAAATGGGAGCTAGAAAAACTAGCTATGCAGTGGGAAGAAATGAACCCTCATCACACACCATACACAAAAATTACCTCCAGATGAACTAAGAATTTCAATGTAAAAAGCAAAACTCAGAGGGAGAGTATAGCTCAGTGGGAGAGTGCTTAGCATGCATGAGGTCCTTGGTACAATCCCCAGTACTTCCATTAAACAAACAAACAAATCAACCAAATTACTATCCACCCCACCCCACCCCGGGCCAAAAGCAAAAAACTCTGACTTCTCAGTGAAAATATAGGTGAATGACTTTGTGATCTTGGAGAAAGGAAACATTTCTTTTTACAGTCACAAACATTACTAGTTACAAAAGGAAAAATTAACAATTTGTACACATCAAAAGGTAAAAACACAAGATACAAATTGGGAGATTTAGCAACCTGACATAAACATAACAAAAGGACACATAGAAACTCATACAAATCAATAAACATGACAATAAAAAAAACAGGGTAAGACACAAACAGGCACTTCACAGAAGGAACAGAGGGTCAACCTACATATGAAGAGCTGTTCCATCTCTTTAAAATCTGGGAAAGGCAAATCAAGACCACAGACCATTTTACATCACTCAAACAGCAAAAATCTCCAAGTGTGAAAATAACCAAGGGAGGATATATGTATTAGGAAGATCTCTTCTGCATTGCTAATGGGAGTATTGACTGGCACAACCACTTTGGAAAACAATAAGCCATTATCTGGTAAATCTGAACTCAGTCTATGACTTGGCAATTACAATGCTATGGTATATCCAAGGGAGACCCTTATGCCCCAGGAGATTTGCCAAGAACAGTGACAGTAGCAGTATTTACAATAGCAAAAAACAACCCAATGACAGATGAATGAATAAATACACTGATAAATTTACAAACTGGAAATATTATATAGCAATGAAAATCAATGAACCACAAATACAAGAGCTTCATAAATCTTTATAAAAAGGGGGGAAAAAAAGTCCCCAGATACTCTCTTTTATGAAGAGATAACGTCCTCTTCATAAAGTTCAAAACAAACTAAATTAGGCAATATATTCCTTAGCCATACATATGTAGGAAAAACTATTAACAAAAAGAAGTAATGATAAAGCACACCTCAGGATAATGATTATCTTTATGGGAGATGGAGGATGGGATGGGGAGGAACACATAGGTAGACATAAGTCATTGGAAGTATTTTATCTTGGGATGGAGGTGGGTTCATGGGTATCCTATTTTATAAAAAAACAAAATAAAAATATAAAATACACCCTTCATTGTGAAGAGAGATTTTTGAGGAGCTGTGGGATTATGGGTGATTTGTATTTACTTCTTTATTCTGCCTCATAGCAATTCAAAAACTTAAAATTTTACTTTGATAGACTCTATGTTGACCACTGTCACCCTGACAGCTAACTACAGCCACAGCCTTTTTATCCTTTACTCTTAATTTTTGGGAAAAAACTGCCTTTGGGGCAGTCATGATAACACAACTGGTATTATCTCAGGCTTTAAGACGCTGTCCCTGGGCGCCTTGCTCCCAGGTCTACATAAAACAGAGGCTACTGATGGTATCTTTTCCATACAATCAGACAAAACTCAACATTAACCTTTTTAAAAATTAAAGAGAAATAAAGTGTTATTACTAACCTTTAACTCCATCCAACTGATTGGTGTGCAGCAGCTCACTGGCTTGATTGTACTTAGTGAACAACTGCCTGAACACAGATTCCTCTTCAGAGCACAGGCCAGTTACAGTGGTTTTCAGCTCTTCCAAGTGCACCAATGCTGACAGGATACAGTCTAACCAGCAGAGAGCATGTGTATTTTTCCACTGGACACATGAAGTCTGGCAAAATGAGGTACGTCTGCTCTCCAATGGCATTTCCAGTTCAGATGTGCATCCTTCATTCTGAGGGAAGGTCCCATCAGAAACATTAACTGTAGCAGAATCTTCTTCAGCAGCCATGTCAACAGTATCAGCTTCCAAAATCTCATTCTGCTCCAAGGAATCAGCCGTCCTAACTGGATTCTGTTGACCACTGTGTAGTAAACCAGGTAAGTCTGATGAGTTTCCATCATATCCTTCTCCATTATGCTGACTGTTCAAAACTTGTTCACCATTAATACCAATAGGATTTTTAGTCTTTTTGGAATTTGCTAAAAGAGGTGAATCTTCATAGTCAGTTTCCAAGATCTTCCTCTTTTGAGGCTTATTTACAGTGTGAGATTCTTCCAAATCAGGAGAAATTAAGTTATTAAGTGATCTAGAGCCCAAGGGATAGATGCACTAGAAGTAAAAAACAAAATAATAAAAACTATAAAATTTCAAATAAGTTCAAGTTTTACTTCACCCTTTCTATGTCATGAAAAATACATACAAAATTTTAGCATTAATTTGACAGGCTTAAGAAAGTATATTACATTATTAATATAAATTTGAAGGAACCAAGGATAAACAATTATTTAATCAAAATTTGGTCCCAAGAGAATAATTTTTCCAGTTAATTTGAACAATCAAGGGTTTAATCTGAGACATCCTAGGATAAGCTAATGAGGAAAACATATATTTTTTGCTTTAATAAAAAATCTAATGTTGAGTGAAAAATTAAACATTCCAACATTTTATGATGAGTATTATTCTTTTGGGGACAGGTACACTGCACAGCATTAAAAACTAGAAAGGTATTTTCAAACAAAAAAAGTTGCATGGAGTGATTTCTATGTTTCTTAGTTTTGAAAGTGAGTATTAATCTGAGAGCACATCAGCATATCAATTTTACATCCAAATTGGGTCTAAGAGTCAAATTGGCTGAATTTTAATGACCTCACCAAATCTCACTGTGCATCAACACAATTTCAGCCAAATATCAAAAGTGTAAACAAACCACTGGAAGAGTCATGTTTTCCCTCAGTTTGAAAACTAGAAAATATTTTACAGGACAAATGCAAGCAATCTATATACTTATGTGCCCTCATTTAAAATATGCCTCCTTCTGTACAAGTATGGTAGACTGGTACCTTGGTGGCCTCTAGTGAACTAAAGAACTGTACCTCCTGGTATGCATGCCCTCCTAGAGTTAGTCCCCAGCCACACAGCCCCAGGACTGGCCATGTGAATAGCTGTGATGGGACATTCGCAGGCAGGATGCACATAGATGCCTGATAAGCACTGGTTTACTAGGCTTGTCCTCTTGGAGCCCTCTTTCTGGAACACTCTTTATTAGTCCCAGCCATCACACTGTGAGGAGCCAATTAGCCTCATGGAGTGACCCTGATGGAAAAGAACTGAGATCCTGGCTGGCTGACTGAGTTGAGTTTCCAGATGGTATCTAGCACCCACTTCAGCCATGTGGACATTTCAGTTGTCCTAGCTAACAATATGTAAAGTGTAAGAACTGCCCTGTCAACCCACAGAATCATGAGTGAAGCCATTAAGTTCTTCTAGTTACTACCATTTTGAGATGGTTCATTTACAACAACTAACTGAAATGCACTAAATCCTCTCACTTAAAATATAGCATCTCCAATACATGTGAACATTATACTTATAATACTGCACTTATCATGAAATTCTTTAATAGGACAAGTTCTTGACTATTCTTACCAACTAGTTGTGCAGTCACCATCAACTAATAAACCTGACCCTCAACTTTATAGAGATTATTTCCTTAATCATCACATGTCAGAAGACAGAGAACCCTTTAAAATCAATGGCAGTAATTTTGTATTCAAAGAGTTATAAAAAGGTATGTATCCAAAAAAATTAAAAGCCAAGACATCAAAGAGATACCTGAAGACCCATATTCATTGCAGCATTATTCACAATAGCTAAGAGCCACGGAAGCAACCCAAAAGTCCACACACAAACAAATGGATAAAGAAAATGCGGTTTATATTTATGATGGAATATTATTCAGCCTTAAAAAGGAAATCCTGTCATATGGTACAATATGGATAAACCTTGAGGACATTATGCTAAGTAAAATCACAAGAATAAAAATACCACATGATTACACTTATATGGAGTACCCAGAGTAGTCAAATTTATAGAGACAAACTGGAATGGTAGTTGCTAAGGCTAGGGGAAGAAGTTGTTATTCAAGAGGAACAGAATTTCATTTTTGCAAGATGAAAAAGTTCTAGAGATGTGTTGTACAACAATGTGAATAATAACAAAGAATCCTGAACTGTACACTTAAAAAGTTAAGATGGCAAATTTTATGTTGTTTTTTTATTAGAAAATTTAAATATTTTTTTCAAAAAGCAAAAAAATTTTTAAGAAATCATTACCATGCTCAAGCAGAGTCAAGATCATGGCGTGCATGCCTACCAGCACCCCTAATTAATTAAAAACAATAAACCACAAAGGGCCCTGGGGCTGCAAAATTTAGTGGCCTGGATGGTTTCCCCGTAAACTGTTTGCAAATGTCTTTAGTGACTTTTGTTTATATAATCTGTGCTCCCAACATAGTGCCAATCTAAAATATAACTTGTTCTAGCCCTGATTTTTCCCTTTTATAAATGAATGCTTTTGGATTTTTAACCCTTCTTATCTGACTTTGGTTTCTACTTTATTTGCAATAGACATGTATCATTTTTATAACTAAAATGAAAGCTTTTAGCCTGTCCAAAAAAAAAGTCATAAAATGATATATAGAGCACTAATTTTTTACTCTCGCCCAACCATCTAAGAGCATTTAAAACCTTACAGTGAAAAAAACTAATGCTGTCTGACTTTTGATGAACAGTTTAAATAAACATATTCCTGCTTTCATTCCTACAGACAGGAATAAAGAAAACACACCACATTATATTTGGATAATTATCTGCAAGGGATGTGCAAAGACAAATTATAAAAATAATTTACATTCACTTTACAAATGAAGAAAA